GTCAGTCCATCTTGTTGAAGGCCTTCCTTTCCATTGCCCCTCTATTTTACCAAGGATGATGTCCTTTTCCAGACACCAGGCTTTCCTGATAACATAGCCAAAGTATGTGAGATGAAATCTTGCGAACATTCTGGCTAAACTTCCACGACAGTTGTTCTTTTGGCAATGCATGGTTCTTCCAATATTCTTCACCAGCACCATAATTCAAACACACCGATTCTTATTTGGACGTCCTTATTCAATGTCCAACTTTCACATGCATATAAAGCAATGGAAAATACCATGCACCTGAGTCCTCAATGTGACATCCTTGCTTTTCAGCACTTGAAAGAGGTCTTGTGCAGCAGATTTATCCAATACAATCCATTGTTTGATTTCTTGACTGCTACTTCTATGACCATTGATTGTGGATTCAAGTAAAAAGAAATCCTTGACAACTTCAATCTTTTCTCCATTTATCATGATGTGTTTTATTGGTCCAGTGAGCAATGTGAGTTTTCTTTACCTTGAGTAGTAATCTACACTGAAGGCTTCTGTGTTAGTCCAGGTGGACTAGAGAAACATATTTATAGACACTCAAATGTTTATAAGAAAGAGCTTTATATAAAGAGCAATTGTATATTAAGAAAACATCCTAACCTAGTCCAGATCAAGTTCATAAGACCAATGTTAGGCCATATATCTGATACCAGTCTATAAATTCCTCTTCAGACTCACGCAACACATACAATGATGCTGAATGCAGGAAGATCACAGGTCAGGGGTTGGAAAGTCTTGTGGATTCAGTGGCGGTGAAAGTATCTCAGCACTGGTGTGGGTTTCCATGCGGCTCTTCTGGCACTAAGGCTTTGTCTCCATCAGCGTAGCTCCGTGTGGCTTGTCAATGAGAATGTCTCACAGGAAGAGAATGTATCTGGGCCCCAGTGAACTATTTTATCTCCATTGTGCCTCCAAATGAGGTCATCAAGCTGCAACCTGATTGACAGGCTAGACTCCACCCCTTCGCAAATTGACAGGAGATGATGTAGCTACCACAGCTCTGCCCTTGGTCTTCATCAGCAAACGCTTCAAGACTTTCAGCAAGCAATATTATGTCATCTGCATATCCACGAAGGTTGTTAATAAGCCTTCCTCCAATGCTGATACTGCATTCCTCTTCATATAATCCAGTTCCTCTGATGATTTGCTCAGAATACAGATTAAATAAGTATGGTGAGAGGATTCAACCCTGTCACACACTTTTGCTGTTTTGAAGCCGTGTCGTAGTTATCTCCTTGTTCTATTCACACAACTGCCTCTTGAGCCATGCACGGATTCCTCTGGAGCACAATGCAGTGTCCTGGAATCCTCATTCTTCTCAAGACTATCCATAGTTTGTTATGATCCACACGAATCCCTTTTCATAGTCAGTAAAAGCCAAACAAACATCTTTCTGGTACTCTTTGCTTTCAGCCAAGATCCATCTGACATCAGTGACGATATTCCTTGTTCCACATCCTCTTCTGAATCCAGCCTGAATTTCTGGCAGACCCTGTCAGTGTATTGCTGAAACCATTGTTGAAATATCTTCAGCAAAATTTTACTTGCATTTAATATTAATGATACTATTCTATGACTGTTGTATAGCATTCATTCTGTTAGGCCACCTTTCTTTAGAATGGGCACAAGTATGACAAACTGACAGAATTTGGTGGATTGAACACTTAGAAGCTATTTCATCATAGAATTGAAAATATTTTGACTATAGACACAAGTCTTTTCTATAGTTTAAGTGAAAATGTGGGAGACATTGTGGTGTAATGGTTATATGTTGGACTGCTAAACAGAAGGTCAGTAGTTCAAAATTACCAGCTACTCCTCAGGAGATAAATGAGTCTTTCTACTCCCATAAAGAGTTAGAGTCCCCGAAACCCACAAGGGCAGTTCTACCTTGTCTGAGTGGCTTGGGTTAGAGTTGACTCGAGAACAGGGAGTTTGATATTTGGGCAGTGAGCTGTATATTAGATTTGTGTTTCTGTTTCAGTGGTTGTATTAGTCTGGGTACTTTGGAGAAACAAATCCACGGCGACTCAGGTATAAGAGTTTTATGTAAAGAAAAGGTGCATCACGAAAACATCCCAACCCAATGCTGCCCAAGCCCACAAGTCCAACATTAACCCATTAACCC